TGCTCCTAATCAGTTCTTCGCCGCCGTGTTTGAATAACTCGGCCGGCAATCCATCGGCCCCCGCCGCTTTGTTGTTCTTCAGGCGGATAATTGCTATTCGAACTTCTTCCTGGTCGGGCAATGGAACGTCTGCTCCATCGTCATCGATTAGGGAATCGGGTTCACCGATTGTGCGTTCACTGCCATTCAGCAGGCTGTAGAAGTGTTCCCTCCATAATTTAAGTATGCTCTGGGCATCGGTAACTAGATGACCTTTGGGGGTTTTATAAGAGTATACTCCGGTCTTGAAACCTTCTGTAAGCCGCCGCATTTTTTCGTAGAATTTTCGAGCATTACCCCTGTCGGCCAGCTTACCAATCTCTTCGTACTTACGCATTTCGGCCTCTTTCTTTTTCTGTCTGCAAATGCGTCTCGCTTCCCTCTTCAACTCTCGGTATCTATCCTATCCCCCACGTGTTATGCTATCCCGGAGTGCAAGCCGAGTAGAAAATCGTTCGGCTGTCTGTTGTGATTGCAGAGGCGGGTGCGAATCTTGGCTGCAACAAGATAGTGGTCCGAGTCGATGTTAGGACCTCGGAGCGCACGCACATCTAAACCACTGGAGACGTGTCTTCCGTCTATCACAACATGATCGATCTGGTTGGTGGTTTCTCGATCCGGAGACAGCCAGGTAGCATGATGTACCTTCTTATGCTGGAATCTAGTACTACAGATAACCATATTTTGGGCCACGGCGAAGTCGATCAGTCTCAACCCATTTGGGGATGTTTCCTCGTGGATGCTAAATTTACCGACCGTAGTGCCAAAGATACCTTCTTTCCCCACCCTGGCGTTAAAGTCGACAAGCACGATTTTGACATCGTGGCGGGGGCTGCTCTCATAAGTGCTTTCCAAGCAATCATAAAAGGCATCTTTGGTCACATCGTCCTTCTCTTCCGTCGGGGCGTGGACGCAAATCAGCGATATGTTGAAGAACCTCGCTTTGATGCGGATTGTGGCTAGACGTTCATTCACCGGTGTGAAGGATAGTACTCGGCGACGGAGTCTCTCTCTCACCACAAATCCCACACCAAACTTGCGCTCCTTTATAAGGCCACTGTAGTAAATGCCACAAGGACCTACTCGTCTCTGTCCTTGTCCCGTCCATCGCATTTCTTGGACGGCGGTGATGTCAGCTTTTATTTTTACGAGGACATCAACCAGCTAGGCAGCGTTACCTTCCCAATTAAGGGACCGGACATTCCAGGTGCATGCCCTCAATTCGTAGTCCTTATTTCTTTTGCCATGGTCGTCATCTGTCATCAAAGTGGGGTCTCTCATCCGAGGCTGTCGGGCGTTTTTTTACGTGGCGGGTCCCAAACCCAGCGCACAACCCTATCCAGGGGATGTTTCGCCGTCTGACTTTAGCTCGCCTTCAAACGGATGTTCTTAGGTTACAAAGAGGATACTTGGTCAAGGACCGGAAGTCGTGAGCTGCTTGAGTCATATGTAAAAGAATCGTTTCTGGCCATTCAGAAGTGAATGGCAATCAGAGAACTTTCCTCACTTGCGTGAACTTCTACACATGACTCCATCCTCCACTGAATTACTTAACATTTTTTGTATAGGGACAATGACTGATCAAATGTTATTAAAAATTGAGATGTTATTAAATTGAATTTTCTGTTTATTTAATAACTTTTCTTTAAGGTGCAAATCTTCATTCTTTAACAATAAATGCGGAAACACGTATAGTGATTGTTTGGACATGATAATTTGTGAGACTCCATCGGTCCAATGTTATTTGGGTGGATGTAACAACTGTCCAGGGGTAGAAGAGTTGAGTAACATTCTACTAACATGGTTTGAGAATCAGGAGATCGAGAATATTATAAATATATATAATAAAACCGGGAAGTAGTTTGGAAACTTTTATCAAGCCTACAGAAGAATTTGTTGAAAACTTTTGTAGTGAACTAAAAGTTCTTTTACCTCACTCATTTATTGCTAAAAATCAAGCCAAATTTTTGAAAAAAATAAAGGAAATACTGAAACCAAATGAACTTGTCATTATTTATGATTTTGCAGAGAATTATGCGTTTGTAGTACAAAATGCAGCATCTGGTTTTCACTGGAATAATAACCAAGCAACAGTTTTCCCGGTGTTTATATATTACAAAGTAATTGATGAACTTGAACACAAAAGTTTAGTAATTATTTCAGACTGTAATAATCACGATGCCGTTGCTGTTCATGTTTTCATCAAATTAATAACTGATTATGTAAAAAGTCTTCCTGAATGCTGTAACAAGATTTATCAAAATTTTGTGAATTTATATTATCATGAAGATGATTTTGATATTCCTGCTGAATGGCATTTTTCTACGACTGCCCATGGCAAAGGTCCGTGTGATGGAATTGGTGGCATTATCAAACGACACGCAGCGAGAGCCAGTCTACAACTTGCAGTTGATAAACAACACCGATAGAATTTTTTGAATGGGCATCTAATCCGAATAACTTACCAAATATCATAGTTAAGTTTTCTCCAGAAAAGATTATAATACAGCATTAACTGATTTAAATGACAGATTTTTGAAAACAAAACCAATTGTAGGAACTCAACAACTACATTGCATAATTCTGGACAAAAATGGTTGTTTGTATGTTAAAAAATTTCCAAACTCTACTGAACATAAAATTAGTAAAATATTTAAACGTCTATAAATTGAGAATATTCTATCATAAAATCGTTAAATTATATTTTTTATATGATAGAAATAAAGTTTACGGAAAAAGATTTTTTCATTACATAAATAAAAAAAATATANAAATATATATTTTTCTATTACATCTTTTGTATATAAAAAATATTTTGTTCCTAAAAATTCCTTCGAATGTTTTCTAAAAAATACTACCAMTGACCTTTTTAACTAAAAATATTAGGAATTTAAATTAGAACATTTTAAAACATTTTCAAAATATTTAGAAGACTTTTACAAAATTGTTTTCGGAAAACAAAGCCTTAAAAGGAAACAGTTGCATTAGTCTATTCCACATTTTTTATTTTTTCTTTTTTAAGAAAAAAAAAATGGCGAACTTCCAAAAAAAAAAATTACGATTTTACTTAAAAAAACGGATTATTTAACATAATTGATCGTGTTAAATTTTTTCGTGTATTTTTTCGAAAAGTTCATTCAAAAACAAAAATTAAAAAAAAGGTTCCCAAAAGTCAATTTCTACAAAAGTTATAGCTATTTGAAAATAAAAGAGCCATTTTTTAGCAAAAAAAAAAGCAAAATTCATAACTTTTTTGAAGTTGGACAGAAAATTTTGAAAAAATTTCCAAAAATGTTTTTCAAAGGGTAGAAAAGGATGGATAAGTTTCAACAAACTCTAAAGGGGTCGGGTTCAACACTGGTCGATTTGGTATGGAATACCCCATATGTATGTGTCGATTTTGCATAAGGAGGAGTTTAACACTCTACAGTATCCAGAACTAAGTTGCATAATGATCACTCCAGATGCACGAGTTAACTCGAGCTCTTCTTCTATTGCTAGCAATTTGTTGCCGACGTAATTAAGGGATGACATTGATGTCCCGGGAACGCCCTGTATAACTCTTATAACTTACAATTTTCGTTTCGAAATAATATTGATGATTGGCGAACAATCAGATAGTACATGCTCCACCACTTCAGCCCTTCAAAAGCGTTGGGTGATTGAAGAATGTGTCAAACTAATAGGATCGTCCTCACGCAGAATGACCAAGTCGTCAAGTTTCTTCACTACTTTGGAAATGAGAGTTATCGGACGATGACTGCTATATGACCAGCAATTAAGGACCATGGTTCGGTATTTTACTCCCACCGGGCTTAGATGCTTTAGCTTCAACATTTTATTCCATCAGGGCAATTTCGCCTTGCTGATGGCACGATAATTCCCTTGATCGGTAACAGCAAGTTGCGCGATATCTTATGAAATTTTAAACTGCCCCCGGATACAATGTCTTTTAGACTTGTCAGTAGAAGGGTGCAGTGCAACCAACCGGCTAAAACAGCTAGTGTACTTCTGAGAGTCTGAGGAGTCATGGTCATTAAATTGAGTATCAATCCGATAGTCATGTTTCTGCGCAATAGACAAGATTTTGTACTTCAGAGCTTACTCACAATAGAGTTTACAGGACTTCAAGTGCTCTACCAACTTCGTCCACTTGTGCTGATTGATCATTTGCCGAATCTCTAAAATTTTCTGGTGTAAGGTGTCGCCCTAATTTGTAAATTACTGCTTGACTGGGAAATAAGGACGGAGGTCGAAATGTACTAGCCAGGAGAAGCGGTAGCAGAAAAGTCTCAATCGAAAGGGTATATGGTAGTTAGCAGAAGTCACCAGGTTATGCCGCCAGGTCAGGCTGCCAGGGCCTTATTGTTTAAGTCGGCGTTATTTCGAAGTTGAAATCCAATGCCGCACATTCAAATTCAACAAAAGCAACAACACATTTGTTTTTTTAATAATAATTCATTAGTTCAAATGTATGTATATTAACGTTTAAGGATTCATTTCATTCAAAAAAAAAATTCGTTTTTCACATTTTCTTCCAATACATATGTATGTAGATTTTATGTACACACATATACTGGTACATCACATAATTTTTCATAATTAAAATAAGATTACCATATGAAATAGATTTACTCATATATGTACTTAATTTATAAATATTGTAATGGCATTTATAATGCATTTACGAGTATGTTAAGTCTAGAAAACAAATACATACACATTCATGTATTCATGTATAAGTAGCATTTTTCAGTGGTTTAACCTAAGGTTTATATTTTATGTCACTTTATTACTTGTTACATGTGTATTGTATACTTTCACATACTTATATATTTTTACATAGATAAATTTAATGTTAAATTTTTATATATTTAAATATAATATTTAAATAAAAAATATTCTAAGGTCTTTTCGTACCGCTATACATACATATACTTAATTTAATACTTTTACAACTAGCAATAAATGTTGTATGACTTTAATGGATAAATCTAAAATACTATTTACACTTGGTACCCTTATCCAGTAACTTCTTCCAAAGGTCAAATTGTTCATTTGACTTGACCATATGCACACTAATTAGTTTGCGTATGTTGCATGGATTAAATGCAATACGTCGATTAAGGAACTCATTGGCATGTACGCGTTTAATACCAACCTGCTGCGCAACAATACCCGTTGTGAACACATCCTCTAGCTTCAGGTATACCTGCAGAATAAATTTATTTTCACAGTTAGTTGTTTGTATTCACACATTTATAGTGTGTATGTACAGTTATCAACAAAAAATGAGACAGATCTAACCTTTCAAATGATGTACATATTAATATTCCCATAGTTCATATATTTCAATTGAACGTAAAGAAAATTGTATATCATAGTTTATTTTAAATAAACTCTAAAACTGGTACCACATTAAAATAATAGTATTCTATGTAGTACGTAAATTTATTTCAAACCTTTATATAATATTAAAATTATTCATATTAGTTTGAATAGCTTTGGTTTTTCTAATAAAGTCTATGAGATCCTGGATATGTTTAAATAGTAATCTTTCCCGAACTTCTGTCACTAATTTCCAGAAATCCACCTAACTGGCTGGTTTTCATTTAATAATACTTGTTTTCATATCAATTTTGAGGGTTTTTATAATAATGAGATCAGAAAACTGAACAGACTGAGACATAACCTGAACTCCGTCGACTCTTCACCTCTTTGTGCACCTGTTGCTATGTTTGGGGTCATTATCTTCCATACAAATGATATATTCCATTAGGCATATAGTAGCTTTACATCATAGAAGATTTTGACCATTTGATTTATGACGCCTTCAATCAATAGAATTGGACCAACGCCAATATGTGTATGACAAAAAAGCACAAATTATTCAGTAGTGTTCTATATTGGTATGTTGTTGTTGTAAATGGTACCTAGTCCCCGTTAGGATGGTAAGGATTAAAGAAGTTGTAATCGACGTCTTCCCACGGTAGGCCCAGGAAACATGCTGTTTCGACGGGGTCGGACCAAAGGGAGAAGGGTGTCAGATGTGTAGGTTTAGCAGGGCATGCAAACAGGCGGCTAGTGACATGCGGGGACTCATTGCACGCTGGACATATATTTGAGCTGCGTTGATCTATTCTGGATAAGTAAGAGTTTAAACTGCTACAATATCTAGAAAGAAGGGCTGCCCATGGGTCACTCTCTTTTCTAGTGGAAACTCGAGCTCCTCTTCTGCAATGGGTTCAGTGCATGTCTGAAGTTATTTGCGTAAAAGTATGGTCGTCGTATTGTTTTGTTTTACGTCGACGTAATTGAGGAAAGACCTCTTGATGTTCTTAGGATGAGTTTCCACTCCAAGCAGGTGACTGCAGGGATGATTTCTGCGAAAGCACCCCAGCAGAAACTGCTTGGAGAGGAGTTCATTATGCTCCTTAACTGGGAGTTCGGCAAGGTATGCCTATATTAGCATTGTCCGTAATGGAACAAGATTATTTTAGAAAGGTCTAACATCCCTAGTTTATTGCAGAAAGAAATCACACGAGAACAAGCAAAGTTGAATGAGAATAACAATCATCGCATAAAAAATTGTTTTGTGTTTTTATGTCAATATCCCGTTATGTAGTACATCGTCATTTACAAGTAAACCAGAATAGTTATGCACCAAAATATATTTTTAATATTGGCACTTCTATTATTTTGTAGACAACTGTATGTATATAAGACAACCGGGTTACATACCTGATGGAGCGATCGTTCATAAAGCAAATGTATTACGTCGCTTGTAATGAGATACGCCGGACCGGTGGTGAACGGTGGAAATAGTGGTTGACTAAATTGGTCGGTTGATACGTAATATTTGGATTTTTTGTTACGTATGGGTTTCCACTGTTTCGCCAAGCGTCCGTATATGACACGCTTATCTTTGATATGACTGTCAATGAATTGCAACAATTTCGGCACATTTATAAACATATCATCATCTGTTTTCAGTATAAATTTGGCTTTCTGACAGTGTACATCCACCCATTCTAAAGTGGAAATCGTTTTCAATGTTAAATTTGTATAGGAGTCGATGAAGTTTCCACGAATCATATCTCCATAAATAAAATTCTCAATACTCAACTCCTTGCTTATACTTTCATTTGTGGAGCGTCCCAAGACAAATGCTATAGATACATCACGCCGTGTGCCATAGTGTGCCCAAGTCTGTCGTATGGCGAGGCGCGCTTCAGCGTGATTTAATGCTGACGATATCAGTATCAGTAACTTCAAGTCTTCACCCTCATTTGGGCAAATCTTAGCGAAATTTATTTCCTCGTTTAAATGTCCTGACTCGTAGATTTCACTGGTTGCTATGCCTTTGGTGTGGTCGATGATTTTGGGTGGAACTGGATGGACTACCTTAGGTGGCACTTTCGGCGAAGTTTTAGGTTTATTTGCTATAATTTTGGGCAAAGCATTATTTTCGATCGGTTTTTGTGGTTTTACAGCGCTATCAGGACGTTTGATAGTCATCACTACGGATGGTGGCAAAGCCACATCACTGTTTACATCATTATCATCATCATCGTTTTCGTTGTCGGCAATATTGCCTTCTGCTTTAGGAACCTTTGGGATCGCATTTTCCTCCGGTAACTGTTTGCTACCACCATTTGAATCTTTTGTCACAGCTGTAAGAAAATATGAATTAAGAGTGTTATAATATTGCACACTTGTTGTTGTATTTCATTTACTCACATTTCTCATTCGCCGCCGGTGCTGCTGTGATGTTTTTCAATATCTTATCTGCATTTTCGATAAACTTTTGCAAATTCGATGTCGGTATCATGACCTCTGAATCTAGTATTTTGTTTATATTGTTGGCGTTATCACTGGATTTTGCGTTGATGCTTTTAAGCTGATCTGGCTGTCCTTGATTCTCCGATTTGGGTTGCTCCAGAGGAGCGCCAACATTATTTGGCTGACCATTAGAAGCGTTGGGGTAACCTATGCTACCGACCACTAAAATTGTATGACAATCAAAATACAAAATTTAAAAATATACTTTATAGTATCAATGAATAATACATATGTTAACATATTAATAATAATAATATTTTAACGTAGAAAAATTATTTTCAAACATAAATTGAGTGTTTAACTCAACACAAGTGGAGATATTACAATATATGCAGGATTGCGAATTTTTTAGGTAATACATTTTGGGTTAAAAAATACATTTTCAACATCAGAACATCTAATTTTTTATTCCAAAATTGGAATTTGATTACATTTTTAATATTTAGTCTCAAAAGAAATATATAGAAAAAATTAAATTTTTAATTCAAGATATTTGGATTGTTTGAATAAAATTTGAAAATATTTTTTTTTATAGTAAAAATTTAAAATTTAATTTTTAATCCCACAATCCCACAATACGAACTTAAAATTAATGAAATATGAATCGCTTCTATTTGATATTTTTTCAACAAGTGCTCTATAGTCTAGAATATTGAAGATGATGACTCTGTGTAGGCTTTAACAGGCGGGCTGAAAAGTTCGTAGGTTAACATAAAAAAAAAACATTTTTTTGATACAATTAGATTTTATTTTTCAATTTTGAGGGCGAGCATTCTCTTGAGGTCTGAGAACAGGTAAGGTCACTGAAGGCCAGATCGGTTGAATGCGGAAGTAATTCCAAGCCCAATTCATGCAATTTTGACACGGTGCGGTTTCTTTATGCGATTCTTTCAAACACTCCAATAACGCTTTGTAAACGCGTTCGGTCGGTTATGTGCGGTCCACTCGGCTGAATGTCGTTGGGACTCCGATGTGAAATGATAGATGAATGATTTATCCATTGTGACATATCGAACAAAAATACGGTTTTATTACGATTAAAGAGCTTCAAACATTCCTCAAAATCAGCACAGAGCTTAGGGATGCCCAAATATTCACTCACAATATATCCAATAGGCTCCTTTGATATCTTTAGAGTCTCAGATCTTTCGAACAACTTCACTTTACGCCGGTAACACCCTCTTTTGGGCGTCCACTGCTTGCATTGTTCTCGGTGCCCATGTCGCCTCATTCAAACTTAGCTATTTTCTCACCAAAATGATATATGTACTTATATCAACTAATAGCGACAGCTGTCAATTTGTACACGTATCTATTAAAGGTAAGGCTGACTAAAAATCATACGGATTGGGATTAAGTTTTTGTATAAATTATATTCCGGTTTTTGCAAGTATTTTTTTTTTTTTTTTTGTATTTGAAATTAAAAATTACATTGAGAAAAATTTTCATCGGCAATATCATTGCGTTAAAAAACTATAAAGTAAGTAATTGTCCTATTGTAAAGTATATGTTTCAACTCACCTAAAGCGTTGTCAACATTTTGCACTTCCATATCCTCAAGCAATTCGTTGCCGAAACGCTCCATCTCATCGTCTTCAGGCGGCTCATCATTTGGAGCATCCACGTCGATCGTCGGTTCGCGATGCTGATGTTGTTTCTTGGCGGCACTCGCCAATGGCACTTTCCCTACGCCAGCACCTGAACCTGTGCTAGCGCCAGACATGACTGCTGCCTTTTTATTCAACTTCAAAAGCGAAATATCGCCTTCATTTCGAGGCGCGTCCAGACGATTGCTTTTTTCAAAACCACCGTCGGCAGCATCATTACTAAATTTACTCTTATTCGCTGCTATCAGCGGTTGATACTGTTGCGCAATAGCGCCCGCAACATCTGTCACCGAACTGGCGCGCATGGAATGCGAATGTGGTGGTGTAAGCGTGGCATTTGATGAATATGTGGCGTAGATGAAAATGGTCAGGATGACTATGCTTACGACGAGCAGAAAGCGAACAAATCTTATATTATGTATGCTGCCCATAGCTGCTAGTGGTATGTTTTTATTTGCTACTTTGCTACTAATTGCTTTTAGATGTGGTTTTTCCGTTTGTTAATTTGGCCCACGGAATTGTGTTTAATTCTAGATTTGTTGCTGCTGGCGATCATTCAAATCGCTCGAACTGCAAATAGTTCTGCTTAATTTCCTTTCCAACACTTTCCATACATTGCCGTGTGCTGAGATGTGTTTTCGCGTTTTTTTTTTTTTTTTGTTTTTTGTTTTTTGCAGTAAGTCTTTGATTTCGTGGCGTTTATTTATGTAAGTATTTTAATTTATCTTTTGATCCTGAGTTTGGTTTTGAATTTTCAATTAACGAGCCGGAATGTCGTTGTCTTTTATGTTGAATTTCAATTAGATATGATGTAACCCAAGCGCTGACTTCTTTGTGGATATAATCTTAAATCGTCTATATTTCGTAGTTCTCAGCTGTGTTGTCAAATTCGCTTTCGGCGGATTCTTTCGTTTGACTTTCAAGTCTTAAGTGCTTCCAACCAGCTGCTTTTAAAACATTTTCCATATTACGAATACTCGGCAGCTGAATGGGTTTCTGTTAATGCCAAGTACCTAGAAAATTAAATCAGATAAATATGGTTATTTAATTACTCAATACATATACTATATATGTATATAGTATATATCTAAAACGTACGGGAGGGACGGGCTAACGCTATATTCATACATACAGATACATACGTATGTTTACAAGCCTACATACTTATGTTTGTAGCTACTATACATGGTGCGTTCCAAAGTAAACAGGACTTAAAAAAAACAGAACAAATGGTTTTTCGACAGAATCAATTTATTTTATTCAAAATAGTCTCCTTCTGCTATATAGATTTTTGCACGATCCAAAAGCAAGGCGAACGAGTGTTTTAGCTCGCTTCGTGTTTTCACGCACAGCTTCGATGGAATTTCCGGTGATCACGGATTTTGTTTGGAACATATGTTGATCCTCATTTATATCCTTATGACTACTTTGAAAACGTTGAAGCCACTCGTGCACTCTGCTATGGGATAGGCAATCATCGCCATAAACTTGCTTCATCAATTGAAATGTTTCGGTTAAAGTTATACCAATAATTTTAAAACAAAATTTAATGTTGGTTCTTTGTTCGAAGCTCATTTTTCCACCGATAACACAAACTTACTGACACTTAAAACGCAATAACTTCACTTCCAATCGATGAATTGTCATGAAATTCTCACTGGAAAATCGATAAAGATAGTAGATTCTAACACACCAGGCGACATATAGATGGCGCCACCAGGGGGTAGTAGAGTCAAAAATTCCTGCTTACTTTGGAATAGTTCGACACAACGTTTTGAGCTTTCCACATATTTGCTAAGGCGGTTAATATCAATCCAAACCGGCCGGCCCAAACCACTTTATTAGGTTCGCCGAAGATGTGACTACGTAATATTTCAAACTCAGTCTGGCAAAAGCCAGGAAATAGAGGAGAAAGGGACAAGAAAATTCCATCTCGTCTCCCTTGAAATAACTTTGGCAAAGCGCTTCCGAAGAAAATATTTGGCCACACCGTATGTGAGTATGTGAATATATTGAACATTAGTTTCCTAATTAACTACTTATTTCAAGAGTAGTTTGTTTGAAGATCATTCTTTTTTATTAAAATTAACAAATGGAGGAAAACAATTTGCTTAAGCGATGAGGCCAGTCCAGGAATTTCAAGTAACCGAAACTGTTTTTTGGTTAACGTGCACTTTAAGTTGTATGTAAAGATGAGAATATATGCAAGTCTTATGCAGATGAAGAGTCTACAGTCGTCATATCGCCCGCAGATGAAAAGTTGATTCCGAAGGTTAGTCCAATTGCTGCATGTTTGTAATTTGTTAATGTTAATACTAAATTCGATTTATTTCACCTTACTTCCACATTCTTAAATAAATTGTATGTGAATTTGGCGAGTGTATCGAAATTATTGGAATTTGGGCCGTCGTCTACATTCACTGACTAGAATGGGAACTTTCTGAAACTTCTGGTCAATGGGAGTGCAATGCAAAGACTATTAAACATTGCAAAACTACCTTTCGTAAAAAATTCACAGTATAATATTAATTAGTAGATCGTTAATATAATAATAATAACAGTGGCAACAAAATAAATATTTCTTGATATAAAAAACCGACAAACAGCGTCACAGACATTAACGTGAAACAATGCTTTCCAACTACCAGGGTATCATGAAACGTTTTTTAGTGACGATGAGTATTGAATCTTTGTTAACAACCTGGAAGTAGATGAACAGTCAGCCGAATGTCGTGGTAAAGGTGAGCCGAAACCGAAGAAACCACGTCAAAGCAGGTCAAAAATCAAGGTTATGTTGACAACTCTGGGGAGGGATTCTCACTTTAATTTGCATTCAAACGGATTCAGAGGATACTTGATCCAAGACTACAAGAACATATGCTTGAACTATATGTAAAGGAATCGTTTCTGGCCACTCCCACCATTTTATTTAAACATATGTAAATTTAAAAACAATAAATATTTCTTGTTCTGGTGTTCTCTTACAAAATTTTTTTCTCTTTACAAAATTTGGTTGGGATTAATTTTATTTTATAGATATAGTATTAAGTTGTCAAATATCTCCCTTCCGCCTCTTTGTCTTTTGAATTTCGCGGCTATGTATAAAGCGCTACAGACCTCGTATCTGGCAATAATATACATCTTTGAAAGATGTTGACATATCCTACAAAACGTCTTATGCATGATTGATGGTTTGGATATAGTTATAGATGTGTAAACATGGAGTTCATTAACGCTGAAATTCGCTCTTTTTAAAGTTTTCCTCTGTTAAAGGCATATTCGCTAGAGAAATGTTCAGTGAAAGTAATGTTGTTTTGTACGATGGTACTCTATCATTTCAAACTGCGGGGGATTGGTTTCGACGATTCAGTGCAGGTGAAAACGACAGCATGGATAAGCCAGAAGGTGGAAGACCTGTGAGGACAAATACCGATCAAATCATGGAAAACATCGACTTAGACCGGTATGTGGCATCTCGTGACATCGCCCAGAAGATGGGAGTTAGTCACCAAACCATTTTAAACCATCTGCAGAAGGCGGGATAAACAACAAAGTTTGATGTTTAGGTGCCACATGATTTGACGCAAAAAAACCTTCTAGACCGAATCAATGCTGCTGAAACGGAACGAACTCGACSCATTTTTGAAGCGGATGGTGACTGGCGACGAAAAATGGATCACATACGACAATATCAAGCGAAAATGGTCGTGGTCGAAGGCCGGTGAATCGTCCCAAACAGTGGCCAAGCCGGGATTGACGGTCAGGAAGGTTTTGCTGTGTGTTTGGTGGAATTGGAAGGTAATCATCCACTATGAGCTACTCCATATGGCCAGACGCTTAATTCTCCCATCTACTGCGAGCAACTGAGAGATGTTAACGCATCCACCATATAGCCCGGACTTAACGCCAAGTGATTACCACCTGTTCCTGTCCATGGCTGTTCTTCGTAAATAAGGAGGGGGGCTTCTACGAGGGGGGTATTATGAAGTTGCCGTCTAGATGGAAACAGATTATCGAACGAAACGACGCATATTTAAACCAAATCCGATCACTGTAATCACTTTTTATAAACATTGAATAAAGAGCAAAAAAGCGGAAGGAAGATATTTGACAATTATAATTATAATTATATCAATGCGGTATTTTAATTTCTATAATTTGGGTTTAAAAAATTAGGTTTTGCAAGGCCATAAAGAAGAGACTCTTGTGTGGAAATCGTATGAGTATCTTTGAATATTGAAAACGCTTTAAAAAATTTAACAATATTTTTTACTTTCCAGCTTTACGATGGTTAAAATTGAACATCTTGAAGGAAAGCATTTTAGCTTATTACAATAAACTTGAAATATGTATTAATTAAAAGCGGGAATAATATTATTATAAACAAGTAAGGAAGGGCTAAGTTCGGGTGTCACTCTCATCAAATACCGTATTTGTGTAAAGTTTTATTCCGCTATCATCATTGGTTCCTAATGTATATATGTATTATACAGAGAAGGCATCAGATGGAATTCAAAATAGCGTTACATTGGAAGAAGGCGTGGTGGGAGCCGAGTTCACCCATATTTCGTACATGTCATCAGGGTGTTAAGAAAATATTATATACCGAATTTCATTGAAATCGGTCGAGTACTTCCTGAGATATGGTTTTTGGTCCATAAGTTTTCAACATAACCTTTGTATGGGAGGTGGGCGTGGTTATTATCCGATTTCTTCCATTTTTGAACTGTATATGGAAATGCCTAAAAGAAACGACTCTATACTGTTTGGTTGACATAGCTATAGTAGTTTCCGAGATATGTACAAAAAATTAGTAGGGGGCGGGGCCACGTCCACTTTTCCAAAAAATTACGTCCTAATATGCCCCTCCCCAATGCGATCCTTTGTGCCAAATTTCACTTTCATATCTTTATTTATAGCTTAGTTATGACACTTTATAAGTTTTCGGTTTTCGCCATTTTGTGGGCGTGGCAGTGGACCGATTTTTCCCATCTTCGAACTTCGAACCTTCTTATGGAGCCAGGAAATACGTGTAATAAGTTTCATCATGATATCTCAATTTTTACTCAAGTTACAGCTTGCACGGACGGACGGACAGACGGACGGACGGACAGACAGACATCCGGATTTCAACTCTACTCGTCACCCTGATCACTTTGGTATATATAACCCTATATCTAACTCTTTTAGTTTTAGGACTTACAAACAATCGTTATGTGAACAAAACTATAATACTCTCTGTAGCAACTTTGTTGCGAGAGTATAAAAACAACGTGTCGAATATGCTTTCATTGAACAACTGTTAATTAATTATATGACTCACGTTATTTACCTTGCACTAAGTCGTACATGTACTGTTATGGAAACTATGGTATTTAAAATACTTCGTTTGCATAACTACAAAACTAGGCGTATTGAATAGTAAATAGCGTAACAAAAGCAATACGAAACATTTAAGAACAAAAATTAATGGTAAATTTAAGCGTTTAAACGAGAGCGTTTATAATTATACTTCATATATAGAGATTGTACAAAATTTACATATATAGACATATACATATGTATATACTATGTACATTATATATTTTATTGACATCAAGTGTATGCATATTGTATCATTTGTACTTCTAATGAAAATTAATAAGTAACGGGAAACTATAATAAAGTCATCGGATATTAAATTCAAGAAAAAACGTTATGTTTGGTTGCACCGAAGCTCACAGATTCACAGATACGCCAATATAAGAATTTTATTTCGATCGCACAGTCTGTATGGCAGCTATAGGCTATAGTGTCTCGATCTGAACAATACTTCAAAGATTGCAATATAGCCTTAAACAATAACCGTTGCCAAATTTTGTGAAGATTGCTCGTCGATTTCCATCTTTGGCAATTATAGCTGTGCTAATAACCTAAGTTCATTTGATCGATCAGTTGTATGACAGCTATATGCTAGAGTGGTCCGATCTGAAAAATTGATAAATTCCAAATTCCTGCTGGGTGCTATTGAGGC